AAAAATATATATAAATTTCGTACACTTTAGGTATCTTGATCTGAAATCGGTGTACAATTTAGTTGTCTCTTGTGGACTAATTTATTAATTTCTTTAAGAAAATTAAAAATTTAGCACTAACATCCTGCGACGGCTCTTAATGCTCTTCTATTATATTTCTTGATTGTTATCATATGGAGCCTTACTATTATATGTGTTTCTATCACTACTACTAATTATTACTACTACTAACTCATTCGCCACCTCGCGGGGTCCCGGAGGTACTGGAGTGGGGAGACAAAGACGGTTTCCAACGCAATTCATGGCCCACAATACAAAAAATAAATAAATAAATAAAACATTGCAATGACTAACCAAGATTAGTTCTCCTACAATACATTTCTATAGAATATTTTTAATATAATTTTTCATTCATAGAACGAAGAAGATTTTACCATGATTCCATCGTCGTTCCTCATCTGATCCAAGATCCACTTTGTTAAATAGATTCTCTTGGAGCTGCTTAATATTGTCCGATTTAGGAAATCTACCGGCGATGCCAGAAATAACAATGTCATCTTCAGATTCCATATCAATGACCGTGGCTTTTTTATTAGAGTCCATGTCAACTCCAACGACAGTAAATTTTCCTTTACTGGTTAACAAAGTCCCAATATCAGAAAATTTGCAGATATTTTAAATGATCTTTATTTTACGTTTTTATATTTACACACTCTTTTTTTCTTAATTTTTAATGATAATATTTAAGTGAGATTCTGAAATCCAACTTACGCAATTGCCTGTGCGACTGGCGGGACACTAGTTACTTAATAACTCATTTTTAAACTATACCTGTTTTTATATAAAGGACACATGTTAATTATTTCCTCACTACTTATGCAGGAACATTATAAATTCACTATTTAGAAAACAATTGATTGATCTGAATAATTAATGTTTTGTAATCGTGTAATTTAATGCTTTGTAATCGTGAAACATCAATGCCACGTATTTAAAATACAATTACTTGCAATTATTTGCTTTTAAAAGTAAAGACTCTTATTTATTTTACTATCTGTTACATTGAGACACGCGAAAATATGATATAAAAATAAGAATTTTGGGACCAGCTGTGTATATCTAGTAGAAAATTATTATAATTTTTAGTTATATGAACTAATTATATAATAAATTACATAATTCTAAATAAAGAGCTACACTGGTTGTATGATAAGTAAATTTTTTTCCGTAAGAAACAATACATCTCATTAAATAAACATTTAAGTAATATAAACGCAATTCAACGCGTTTAACCTTTTTAATGCAGTAAGTTCGTATATATTCCGCGAAAACAATTGATTTAGCCGTCGAACGTATATTGATTTTGAAAACAATCAATGTGGCCGATGGGTATACAGGGTGTCCCATTTTAAAAATCCCACGTGAATAACTTTGTAGAAATTGGTTTTAGCAAAAAATATTTTAGACAGAAGTTGTTGGTTTGGAGGAGGACATCCGACGATGACATTGGTTTAATCTAGGGTGTACATGCCAAGGTCATATAAAGGTCAACTTTGTTTTTTTAAATGGAACACCCTGTTTTTTATTCCAAAATCAAAAGAGGTATCAAGAGCTTTTCAAAACACTATAATAAAGTTATTTTTCATTAAGTACTTTTTGAGTTATGAGGCTTGTAAATTACAATATTTTGACTTAAAATACAAAATATCTTGTAAAACATTCAATTTTCGGGAATCTTATCTTAATATGCATAAAATAATGAGACGAATCAATTGGTATAAAGAAAACACATAGTTGCTTTCAAGAAAAAATATGTAATTTGCAACATCCAACTGCATACTTTTTTTTAAAACCAATGTGTTTTCTTTATACCAATTCATTTGTCTCATTATTTTGTGCATAAAAGTATTAAGGTAACATTCTCAAAAACTGAATGTTTTACAAGGGTGTTCCATATAAAAAAACAAAGTTGATCTCCATGTGACCTTGGCATGTAGACCCTAGGTTAAACCAATGTCATCATCGAATGTCCCTTTCCAAACCCAACAACTTTTGTCTGAAACATTTTTTGCTAAAACCAATTTCTAGAAAGTCATTCACATGAGGTTTTTAAAATGGGACACCCTGTATATATAAAATAAAATTAAATATTAAAGTACAGTCAACAGTATTGCATTAATCTTGGGCTAAGGCTAAATAGAACGCTATATCGCTCTGCACAACTCTGTCGCGACACACAATTTAACGAGTTTAGTAGCGCGATCCGTGTTTCATTATTGTATTTCTTATGTATTTCTTATCGTATCTAAGTTAGTACAAAATAATATTTGATAATGCTGTATCAAGGAGAAAAAATTATTTTGTCCAAAAATATTTTATGTTAATGTTTTATCAAGAATTGATTTCTCAACTGTAGTGCATTCCTCACAATCGTCCGTAATATTGCTATCAAACATTTTTTTGAGACTAAAAATAAAAATAAGCGAAGACATTTTTGCTTTGTAAGAAAAAGATATTTAATGGTTTTTCAATGTAAAGTAAAAAAGATAGTCATTATAACTTTTTATTCCAGAAAATCGCTTAAAAAGAGGTCGAAAAGTTAAGAATTATATTATTGAGTTGCAATCGTATTGAATTCTAACATAAAAAGTAAAAAATATACAATACGCTGTAAAATTTGTGAATTTTTAATTAATTTTTTATTAATAGTAGTATTATTTATAGCAGAGATGGTAATTAGTTGCAACTTTCGGCTCGAATTTCTGATTGACGCCTACTGTTCCCTCCTTGCCGCTCGCATGCTAGCAGCGAGTCGCCAAACGCGCTAACAACGCGCGTAACTAACAAAAGGTGCGCGATACTCAGCCTCAGGAATGTCCATATCACAAATGCAACAAGATAATAAATATGGATAAATATATTATAAATATAATAAAGATTAATATTTATAATATTGTTGCGTCCGCGGACCGGTATTTCACGCACGACAACGAAACTCACGAAATCAAGCAACACAACACAACACTTCGAATAAACAGAGAATACTTTAATAAACAACACAGAACTTTACAATGAGAAACCGGAAATATGATTTAAAGACCGGAGCTATCATAAACGTCCGCTCGAGCAGACAGCTATCTCAGATCTGACATATAACAGCTTGTTTATAACTGTCATAGAGACCCTTTAAACTGTTAATTAATATTCGTTGTCCTGACAACGAATATAAGAAAGATTATTAATAAATGCCATTTGGCTTCAACTCTCTAATGACCGATCGATATTATCGATCGGTCCGTCAGCTGTAACACACACAGCATCAGCGGCGAAATAGTACGGGCGCAACAATATTAATCAATTGCTCCAGTTGCTTTGAAACAGTCAAAACAGCTTTGCCGCTGTGTTCATGTGATGTAAAAATATGTAGAGTCGGAACACGCCGACTTGATATGCCTTGACACCCGTGCAACTTCATATGTTAAGGCATTAGTGTGATCAGGTGTACAAGTATAGATTTACATTTATTTTCCTTCTTTTTGGCTTCTTCTTTCTGCTTCTGTATCATAATTTTCATCACTGTATTTAACGAGTATCATATCTTCTACATTGAGTTCTGTCAATATTGTTTTAACTCGAAATTTCCAGGTTTCATAATTATTGCCACTTAATGGATCAATGTTATAACTGTTATTCTTATTTTGGGCTATTTTTAAAACGAGCCAGAAGTAATACAAAGAAAAATATAACCTTATTTTAAAGCCAATTGTCTCTCTTAATTATTGCAATCCTGGGCCCATAACCTTTTAAATATATATAAGGATTATTCCTTTATGATGCAGTTAAACCCGTACGAAAAAAAACTACAGAAAACTATTTAAAAAAACTATTAAAAACTATTGAGAAAACTATTAAAAAGTATTGAAAAACCATAGGAACACTATTAAAAACTATAGGATCACTATTAAAAATACTGTTGGAAACTATATGAAACTACAGTTTTCAACTCAGCAGTATTTTTGTCTCTAATAGTGCTGAATATTATTAGCAAACTATTAAGGATAATATTGAATAAACTTTTAGAAAATTCTAGTTTTAATACAAACAAATTGATATTGAGAATAACTGAAAATAAATTATTGAATTATCAGTAGTTTTGCAGAAGATCCAATAATTTTTGTACATACTTCTTTTATTTAATTAACAATGAGTTTATTATAGATATTTTTAGATTTACGGATATAAGTGAATTTCATAATAAATAATTATTTCTTTGTGATAATTTATTAATTAAAAAAACAGATGCG